TGACATCACCGGAAGTGTGTCATAAGGCCACACACCCCACCCCCAATGGTCCCGGCCGGAGGGAGTGCAAGGAAGCCCCGCCAAGGCCCTCCCTGGTCCCAGGCAGGCAGGGGTGGGGAGAGGCGGGGAGGAAGCAACTTACCCTCCCTCTTCTCCTGCCTCCTCCTGGCTGAATGAGGGCCGGAAGCGGGGCGGGCAGAAGCAGGGGTGGGGCTTCGTCCTGTGCCCCGCCCCCCACACCTCACCCGGGGGAATGGCGATCCCCCCCGAATCGACCTCTGGATGGGATTTTAAGTTATAATAAGAAAATAAAGGAGGCAGAAATATTATCTACCATTCAGTTTCTCAAAGTTAGTTCTGTCTACTCTTACTCGCTGCAGCTTTTCAGGAGCTCAGGGAGAGGCCTTTCACATCACCTACTACCTGATCCTTTTAACTGGAGGTGAGGGGGTTGAACCCTCGACCTTCTGCATGCAAAGGAGATTCTAAACCATTGAGCCACAGCTATTAAGGAAGCTACCATACCACACACACCTTGCATTGGAAGGTATAACTGGCCACAGCTTCCCAAATCATGTACATTCTACATGCAGATAGAGACATGCAATTGCTGAACCTTTCTTAATTTGTTGCATGTGTGATTTCATGCATTTTTCACACTAATAGTGCCACCCTAAGAACACTCTCCTGGGAGAATATAATAAAGTAGGATTCTAAGTAGACCTGCTTAGGATTGCTCTCTAAAATGTATGTGTAATAACTAATAAAAAGTCACAGACCTCACCGATCCCTTGTGCTGTTGTACGTTGTGGAAAACTCTTGAAGTGATAGTAAAGTAGGGTAGTTTATAGGTCACTCCTCTCAACATCATAAGATTGCTTTACATTTTCTGATATCAGTAATATACATTGGTTTCTTACCAACATTTCATCAATAAGGTTCTTCAACATTTCTGCCACTTTCCTGGTATTGGAAACAGCAGTAGGATAAATCAAAGTTGTGGCGCCCCGATTCCAATCCACTATTATAATATTTATGTCTTCTTTTGCAAGCAGACTATTTTTAATCTCATTAATCCATATTGGTGGAGAACCTGTAGGTCTGTATCCATGAATAACAAAAATAATTTTCTTGGTCACATTTAGATACACAGAAGTTAAGTTTTGTCCACTGAGATTCTCCGAACAGTTTTTGTTTTTCCTTGTGTACAGAAGAAGTTGCAGTTTGAGATCTGTGCCTATTAGAGCATCGGGTAAATTAAGATCCGTAAATTCTGTGCATTTTCCCCCTGTGTCTGAAAAATTAAGAAAGAAAAAAAGGTTCAGATAGATTATTTTTAACAATAATATTTATCCCATCTTCAAGGTCCCTATGGTGATGTGTATGGCAATCATCCCACTGTATTCTTACAACTACCATGTGAGAATTAGTGACTTGCTCAAGGTCAACCAATAGATTCATGGCTGTTATTTCAATCCACAACTCACTAGTCCAAGTTACCCACTTCCACAGTTATAAAACTAGCTCTGATGGAACTGGACAGATTCTATATATATTTCTAAGGATTTCATCATTATGAAATGTTTCTTTCTTTATTTTCTTTTAGATCTACATTTACAAACAAACTCTTTTATAAGAATAAAATCTGAGTCCAGTGTCTACAGAGGCTCTACGCTACAATCGCATTTGTTCCAATCCTACAGATAGAGATTCTCACCTGAGGGATCTACAACAAACCTTTTTGGAACTAAAATATCCACCTGATGAAGTCAAGAAACAGATCAACAAAGCCAGAATGATACCCTGTTCGAAGACAGGCCCCAAAGAGACAAGAACAGAACACAACTAGTAGTCACATACAGCTCTCAACTCAAAACAGTTCAACGCATCACCAATGTCTTACAACCAACTGAATAATGACAGTTTTCTTCCACAGGCACTGGGGGGCAAACCTTTTATTGCACACAGACAGCCCCCCCCAATCTTTAAAAAAACTCCTCACCCATAATAATATAACATCTAACTTAAACATGGATACTAGAACCAGAGCTTGCAATAAACACAAATGCCAACTTTGCTGTCACATACACCCAGACAACGTGATTACTGGACATAGCAACATCAACCATACCATATCAGGCTCATTCACTTGCTCATCTTCTAACGTTGTATATATTATTAAACACCAACAATGCCCTTCCATTCTCTACATAGAGCAAACAGGTCAAAATGCCAACTTTGCTGTCACATACACCCCGACAACGCGATTACTGGACATAGCAACATCAACCATACCATATCAGGCTCATTCACTTGCTCATCTTCTAACGTTGTATATATTATTAAACACCAACAATGCCCTTCCATTCTCTACATAGAGCAAACAGGTCAAACCCTACGCCAAAGGATAAATGGACACAAATATGACATTAAGAATCACAAGCCTGAGAAACTGGTAGGAGAACACTTCAATCTTTCTGAACATTCAGTGAGGGATCTCAAAGTAATTGTTTTATTGCAAAGTAACTTCAGAAACAGACTGGTAAGGTAAACTGCTGAATTACAAGTTATTTCAAAACTCAGAACAAAAGAAACCCAGGACTTAACAGGGATATTGGTTTCTTATCTCACTACGTATGCTAATGTCATTCAGTCCTTACATCTGTATTTTCAGTGAGAAGGGCCATACATCCTCTTTAGTTTATCATGTTTCTTATTTGGAATAATAGATTGGAATAGTGATTGTAATGTAATGCAATGAATAGCAGAATGTAATATAATTTGGAATGGTAGATTGGAATGTATTTCTCTGGTCTGGTGACAGAGGAGACATAAGTGCACAACCAGTCACCCCACCTTAAAGAAAGGGCTGCTGTTAGTTAATTCCATGCTTGAGAGAATACGGATAGAGCGTAACAGGGTTTAAATTACTCTCAGCATTCCACAATTAAGAAGGGTACATTTATGCATCCTTCTCCAATGTTGATGTATTTATTTCCTTCACTTTGTTTCCCCCCGAGAATTAAATCCAAACAAATGGTGACCATATAAACTAAACTTGTTATTCCTGTTTGGTCCTTTCATTTACTAAACATCTTCATTATGTTGTATGCTAACTTGCTGCTCACCCTCTGCCTATATGTATGGACTGGTAACTTCCATTTCAATGTATCTGAAGAAGTATGCACGCACACGAGACCACCTTGAATAAAACTCTGTTGGTCTTAAAGGTGCTCCTGGACTCGAATTTTGTTCTGTTGCTTCAGACCAACACAGCTACCCACCTGAAAACTGTTTAATAATAGGGTTATAGGGAAGTTAATTTTTTCCTTTTGTCAAGCCACAATCACACACATTTTAACTTCAGAGCGAGGCAACTGAATTCAGTGGTGTTTACTTCAGAGTAAGCAGATATAAGATTGGATCACACTGTTAGCTTTTTTAAATAGTGTGGTGTACTTCGAATTCAGTGGTGTTTACTTCAGAGTAAGCACATATAAGATTGGATCACACTGTTATAGTGTGGTGTACTTCATGCTGACATTGTTTTCACTGGACTTTTTGGTTTCTGTCTCTTTCCCCTTCCTTTTCATGATAAAACGGTTCCCTGTTGACTCAAAGAGAGTGCCTCAAGACTGAAAAAACATACAGTATGACCAGCTGTTCCAGGCAACAAAAATACATTTGGATACATGCAACTTTCACAGGTTAGTGTTACCTGGCTAACTTAAATGAATAAATTAAAATAAACTCTGTAAATAGTTCAAACGCTCACATTGTTTTTTCAGTTCCTTCTATATGTCTGAGACAATATCTTTTTACAGACACAATTTTTGGTCTGGCTGAAGGGCTCATGTGAAAACTAAAGTATTAATATTACTGAATTTATAAAGTATTAGAATTTAAATTATATGCAGACCTTTGGGGGATTAGCAGTGCAGACTGGCTTTTGAGCAAGGGAAACCTTTACCTTAAGTGGAGTTACACCTATCTAAATCCATTCAAGTCAATTTTGCTTAAGACTACACTGTAAGTTTCATTAAACAAAGGTGGACTTCCTTTTGAGTAAACATGCTTATGATCAGGGTATTTGATTTTAAAGTCTTTTCTAACTACACACATTTCAGTAATGAGTTTAAATCATTTCTACTCCTACAGTACAAAACATATTGAATGACATACTTTTGTACAGACTTTAGAAGACAAAGTATCTGTTCTTATGCTAAAGATGAGCCTTTGTAGTATTTTTGAGGAGTCACAATTAGTACCTACAGATACGACTCATGCAGTATAAACGAACCCACTTCCTTGTAATAAAAAGTCAGGAAGGACTTTTAAACAGCTACTTTACCTGCTCTTACACAGCATGCCAAGAAACAGGCGAAGAAACATATTCCCAACAAAGGGAATCTTTGAAAAGCAGAATGGAACATCGGAGGGAATGTTTCTATTTCCTTGTAACATGCTGGGCTTTTTCTTCAGTCAGCTGAACGTCATTGATTAACTAGGTGTGGTAAACAGAAGGAAGTTACTTAGCATAGTGAAACTCAACCTCTATGCTTTTGCAACCTGTGACTCCTCCTTTCCTACTTAGCTATACAGGTCGGGCACTTCTTTGGGGCTTGTCATACCTTTTGAAGATCGGTTGTAAAAGCTTCTTGCCTCCGACCAAAGACACTATTCATTTTACAGGACCACAAGGTCTGTTCCTTGGCAGTATGTGAAGCAGTAACGGCCAGTTTTGTGTAATAGAGAAAGGAATTTCAAACATTTTGCAACTTCTGTTAGGAGAAGGGGGGAAGGAGGTTTGCTGAACAACTAAATGGTACAGAGGTCCAAAGTAGAAGGTTCTGCAATGGGAAAAGGAAAAAAAATATTGACGATACCAACTATTTCTTTGAAACAAAGAAGGAAACAAATCTTAAGTTATTTGTATCTTGATGTACGTTCTCTAAAAACCTTGTGGTCAAGTTAAATACTTCTCAGGTAAGTTTTAAATAACTTATTACTCATTCATTAATTGCCTTGTTGAAAAGCAGGA